CTTTTTGCCAGTTTCAGGTTTCCTCTCCGACACCAAATGCTTTCCTCTTTTTCTACCGCTGTTAACACTAGGCAGATCAAACAAACACAAAAGTGTTTTCTCAAAAAATAATCATTAAGCATATCATGTAGTTTAGCTCAAGTGACAGCTGAATATTTGTTTCATTAATAAGTAATTTGCAATTAATTCATGGAGTCATTTCTAAAAGAACATTGTGATGTTTCCATGGTTTTAAAGTGGCAAAACACTAGTCATTTCTTGACAAAATTTCAGTACAAATTACTCATATGCATCCACTGGAAGAATCCAACCTCTAATGAGGACTGTCCCTGTGATGTGGGAACATGGCTCCCATTAGTGTCAGTGGTGAGACACCTGCAACATACAATATGAAAATAGCTGCAGCATTTAGGATTGGAATTTCAGGTTCACAGGTGCTCATGCCGCTCCATTCAAATGATTAGTAATGAAATTACTAAAGTTAAGATTTTTTCCATTTAAGGCTCATAAACAGCTCTTCTCCATGCTGGAAGAATAGCAAAAAATCCAACTGTTCAATTGATCTATTTTCAGTCAAAAGGCTGGACAAACAAATTATTTTTATCCTGCCCTCTGAAATGAAGATGCTCCAGCTCCCAAAGGATCCTGAGGCTCTAAAATCATGCCAGGAGTTATGGATCACCCCTCCAACAGCTGACCATTTCTCCTTGGAGGTCCAAGGGTCTCCATCCTAAAACCTATGGAGATCACTTTCTGCCTAGGATGGAATAGGCACCATTTGCATTTATACTTTATTAAGAATTAAATTGCAGTTTACCACCTTTCACAATGTTCTTTCTAACCTTACTAACTGGCATGATTTGGGAATAAATAACACAGGAGAGTGTCTTTAATCGTGGATACCAGCACCACTTCCACTCTAAACCCCAGGACTTGATACCCGGCCAGCAAAGACTAAGGACATTTCTAAGCTACAGGAACAATTATAATTGTTTCCATATCACCTTCTCAATAACCTTCCCCCAAAATTATAGGTTAGAGAGTTGTCTGTAATCATTAACTGCCTGAAGGAGAGAGACACATTACCAAAGCAACAAACCTCTAATCAAGAGAGTGGGAGCAGTGCAGAAGAGAAAAATAACTCCTTAACAAGCAAGTTGCAATAATGTCAAAAAAAAAAAAAAAAATCTGGTTTGGCACATTTATTTAGCACCCCACAGTTGCAAAATTAAAATGTTGGGAAAAGTGAACATCATAAATTTGTGCCTCCTTGGGAATGTAATTTGCTAGAATTACACTTTTAGATGGAAGTGCTCACAGGTTTTCATATTCAGCAGCAAGAGGACCAATTATATTAACAAACTGACACAGCTCTAAAGTGACACAACAGAGAGCTGATAAAAAAAAGTTTTCAAATATCTGTTTTTCAATTTAAAATTAAAAAAAACATTTTTTTTAATATGGAAAAAATGCCCAATTTCAAATTAGCCTAATTGAGATGAATAGATAGTTAACTTGGTGTCTGGAAAAACAAAATTCTAGACCCTTTTATAAAAATCTCTAACAGAAAGGGGTTTTTAATTTGCCTGAAGGGTCAGGTTAAAATTAATACTTTAAAAATTGTTGTAATGCCATAAATTATGAGCTAAAAATTAATAAATTTGGATAAGAGAATCTATAAATTATCTAGCAAGAAAATCTGGAAACAATCAGCTATTTTGTATCTTCCATCAATACACCATGCTTTGCTACACAATGATTTCCATGATAACATGTGACTTTGCCTTGAACACAATTTGCAACCAATCAGCTTGATCCAGTTTCCACTGAAGTAAATGAAAAGATTACCATTGACTTCAATGAAAGCTGGATTAGACTCTGTTCGCATTCACAGTGGAGGAAAAAAAAATAATTAATGATTATTTATGCCAGAAATTCCAGTGTAAAAAGCAAAATTGGTGCAAATGTGTTAAAGAATTTGAAGAGAAAAATGAGCACAGAAAATATAAAATATGATTCCACTAAAAATTATAAGATTACTAATTACTCTGAACAAGTTTATAGAAATGCTATAGATGTAATTAAATGGCAGAAATATACTTCAAAATCCAATTATAGCAATGGAGCAATGATTATACAGTTGCATTAAGAGTTAAAATAAAATATTATACCAGATAAATGGGTATATTAGAATAGCATTATTCGATTTTCTTGCATTTATCCAGCATCAAGTGCCACCAACCCTTCAAGCTACGGACAAATAGAAGAAAACAGATAGAGGAGAAAGATTGAGTTCGCTTGCTAAATATAATCAGTAACAACTGAGGTATTTCTACAAAAAAAGATAAAAGGAGAGATACCATCTACCGATACATGACTTGTACAACAAATCAAAATACCGAGTCTTAGTCACAGTCCTACAGTTCCACTGGAATTAGCAACTTTTGTAAGTACCAGACCATAAAAGAAGTGAAACTTGAAAAGGATTTACTGCAGAAAGTTGAAACATTCCAGAGAAAACACAATATACCAATAAAGAGCCAATTATTGCAACCATCGATATTCAGCAGTGGACTATCAGAGGAAAAGATATGCAGATTCAATTAGGAAAAAATACAGTCATGCCTATCATTTGGCAGAAGAGCATTTCTTACAGATAGGAAAAGGGAAGCTCACTTTATTTCTATGTTTAAATAATAATTTGATACTTTACCCATTATGTCAAGAAATTAACATGTAGAAGAAACAAATGCATGCACAGTGTCATTGTGAATCCCTTTCTGATTTAAAAGTAAGTTATCTCTTGCTTTGTTCTCTCTTGTCCTTGAAATTCAAGTTGACTTAAAATACCTATATGTATAGCAAGTATCAGGTTTGCCAACTTTTGAAACCCAAGGGAAATATTCACCAATTGCCAGAATCTTACTTAAATCACTTAAGACCTTACCTGTTTTTAAAATTCAAACATAAACCAGGCACAACTTGTATGGGGCTTTTGTGAGAATTCCTCTGGTGAATTGGTAAGTACTTCTTTGGGAGGTGCCCCATTAATAAACACCTGCAGTTTATCACTGTTTTGCAGTCCCAGGGAGAGGGCTGGTAAGGGTTTCAGTTTAAAGGTCACACAGACTGTATCTGCCCCCCCAGGTACATGTTTGGCCATTAGCATAATAAAAATATTGGGGTGGGGGGAGGGGGGGGGGGAAGAATGGAAAAAAAAAAAAAAAAACCTGACCAAAAAAACTGACAAAAAAAAAAAACAAACACAAACACAAAAAACCCCCACCAAAAAACACTAAACTGAGTCTTTTATTCTGATTTTACTATAATATTATGAAGACAAACAGAAACATCCAAATGCTCAGCTATGCTTTGACTAAGCAAATCTCATAAATGTCTGAATTTCCCATTATGGCCATGATTTCTAGAGGGAGATGAAATCTTTACCTCTCTCTAAATTGATGGGAGTCTCCCTCCTCCCTTCAGATGCCAGAATATGGAAGTAGAAGACTATCCCTCTGAAGGCTATATTTTATAATACTCTGATGAGATGCCTTTTGATTTAGGGTTTGCACGAAGGAAGAAAAAAATCCATGTAGTCTGCCAGCTCATCTAACCCAACTTTAATCACTTACTGTGTAGACAGCTATAGCTGAGCTAGTCATCTAAATTCCCTTTAAAGTCAATGGTGAGAAATAGATGTTTTTAGGTTGCAATTAATTGATTGGAAGGAAGAGGGACCTATCATATATAGAAAAGAATTGTGGCCCAGAGGGTTCTGCTTTTCCTCATTTACTTTATAAGAAGTTCACATATCTACTTTGTAGTAGTCCTCCAAAATAGTATCACCAATCTCTATTAACCAATCTCCCTTTATTTTTGTAATCTCTTTTACTATTCCTCTTCCCTTCTTTTTCACCACCTAGTCTCTTCTGGGACATCAATTCAATTTTTTACATTATAAACCCATTAACCCCACAAGGAAAAGGGTTCATTCATCTGATGGTAATGAAAACTTTTGGATTATACATGACCACTCACCTGGGCCAGAAGAACTGATCCACCGGGTTTAAAAAACACATTAACAGATAGTTTCATGTCAATTGTCACAGAAATATTCAGAATAGGACAGATAAGAGAAAACTTCCTACCAATTTACCACTCTCCCAAGGACCCACGGGCCTGTCAGCTCTGAGGACTCTAGGTCACATCCAAAATATACCAGAAAATTATGCTGGTTACATATAGCCTAAGGAACTGGGCTGTGATGATTTTCATGGAGACAGAGAAAAATATTTCCCCTCAAGAAGACATAGAAAATCTGTTGACTTGGAAATATAGCAGACTTCAGGGGGAAGAAAAATTAATAAATTTGTCTTCATCGAGTAAGATCCAATGAAGTCAACTTGAAATAAGTTTTGCCAGACTTCAATATTGTGGAGACCCCCAAAAGCCTTACTTTTGCCTGATCTACCACCCAATGGATAGCCCTATGCAATTTTGTTCTGCTTTTACAAGCTGGTGAGCCAGCCTATTTCCTCTCACCCACCAAAGAGCAACCATTGTACTGAAGATCTTTGAGAAATCTGCTGCACACTCTGACATAAGGGAGTAAGTTTTGTTTCATGTTTTCCTTATGCTGGGGCATTCATCTTCAAAGTGCCTTGCACACAACCAGGGAGCCTTAGAAGCATATCAGGGGCAATTCAAAGAGCTTTGCATGGAGCAGGAGGGGGTTCCTGTTCAAAGCTACAGCCTTGCATCTGCCAGAGAAGAGCAGATTCAAAACCGAAGAGGTCACTTCACCTACCTGTAGTGGGATCTCATATTCAGAAGACTCCAGCTAAAAATAAGGGATATTTAGACAGTGTGATAACTGAAACCCTCTAGGCAATGCTCTTTCTCTCTCTCCCTCACACAGACACATATAGAGCAATGTCTCCTTTAGAAAAAAAAATAAAACTGTAGGAGACATAATGGCCTCCAGAAAACTTACTCACAGATTAGCTCCATCTATAGTATCCTCCTGGTTTGAGCACAAAAGTTTCCAATGAGCTGGACCACCACAGACCTCTGTTCAAACCATCTGAAACAAGGAAACTCAAATAAGCAGTTGTTTAATATATGATAGAGTGGTAAAAACACTGATTTCTTTCAATTACCCAACTTAATGCCACATAGAGGAAATATTCTGCTTGGTTCAGAAATTACAATTACTTGTTCTGTGGTCAGACCTGGAAGACCCTGGATAACATAAGGGCTCTACTAGGGTGGGAACTGTTTAAACACAGAGTAATACAGAGCTGCTTTCCCCAGAATTTATCATTTACACGGGAAATACAGAAAAATACAGAAGAATGTATTGTTGTCCTCATTTTATACACGAAGAACTGAGACAAGGAAAGATGCAGGTTCATGTACAAGCAGATCAACAGATGTTTAATGTCACTGATGATGTTAAGGAAATCAGAAGTAGATCTTTAAATGAAGCAGAAGTATAATAGTCTTGTAGATTATCTGTGGAAGCTTTGTATCAGGCACTTGACTTTTTAAAAAACAATTTAGATTAAATCTTTGTAACACCTGCTTTCTGATAAGATGTAAGTAGCTCTACATCTGCAAGGAAGTCTCATATTTGCTACTGAGAGAGAGGAGTTTCATCTATGGGATTTAATCCCACTGCCCCAAGTTAGCAGGCTCTATCCCTGCTCCCACTGCCACCCCACATCTGATGCTAGCCACCTCCCTCTTCCTTCAGACATTCACTGCTGCAGATACAAACCCCATCTCTGTATACAGTTGCTATTATCTGTAACAGTTCTTCAGCATTTACTGTCTTCAAGGAGTTATTTTTCCTTTTTTTAAATAGTAGATTAAACTGCACAGCATTCTACACTGCTTTCTCAGATTCCTCTTATTTATGTTGTAGTTGTCTTATTAAAAGCTGTAAAGCCTTTGGGACAGTCTTTGTCTGAATGGCACTTCACATATACAGTTACATTACTCCCTGTATCAATTTTTCTTTTTTTTTTTTTTCGTTAGAAGTACCCGGGTTTGTTTTAATTTTAAACTCAATTTAAACATTGCCTCCATTGCCACATGCTTCCTTTTGCTGCACTGCTGACTGCAGTATTTCAGCATGCTTACTCCAAGTTCAGTTTATAACAGCAGGCCAAGATGGATCATAAACTTTATGCCTGATCCAGCTTCTTATGTATCATTTGTGTTTTTTCAGATTTTCCTACTTAGCAAATGTATTATTCCTTTAAACCACTTAATCATATATACTAGGATCTGGGAGATAATTCCAAAATATAATTTAATTGTACAATTATACATTTACTACATATACTTACGTATATCATAATTTGCTACAAGACATCCTTCAAGAAGATCTAGCCATTTTTAGATCCATTCAGTGTGAGGCAGCTAGAATGCACACTATGCTGTACAACCTGCTTTCAGATGATTTCAAAGACTGTATTTGCAATGTGTTTCCTTTTTCCATATTTTATTCTCACTTTTGTTGCTCTTGCAGTGATCTCACCTGGAGCAATGAGGCTGCAAGCCCTCCATAGGTCTTCACAGAAAGACCAATTGGTTTATGCCCTGTATGTTTCCCAGGTTGTAAAACAGCATAAAAGTACAAATGAAGAGCCTTATACTATTTTTCTTCCTGCTGTGTGCAGTCAGGCCAGAAAGTATCCCTTACTCAGAAGGAACCTGCAAATTACCTCAGCGTATCTGACCCACCAGCAGTAATGCAACATTAGAACAGTTTTCTGCCACTCACTCACATCACCGGTGCAGCCCTGGCTCTTCTCCTGCTGAGCTCCTCCAGCAGATCTGTGATGATGCCTGTCTCCACAATGCCTGGTTTGAAGGAAAAATCCTGAATGTGAATGAAATACAAACCTTTGCCATCAAAATGTATGAATTATTTTTGAAGAAGTTTATATCACTTTAGGTATTGCAAAATTGACCCCATATATCTGGAAATCTGAAACTGAAGTAGATTTAGCCTCCCCTACGGGGCCAGGCTGAGAGAGTTGGGGGGGTTCAGCCTGGAGAAGAGAAGGCTCCGGGGAGACCTTCGAGCGGCCTCCCAGGGCTTAAAGGGGGGACTGGGAAGGTGGGGAGGGACTCTGGATCAGGGGGTGTGGGGATAGAGGTAACGTTTTTAAACTGAAAGAGTAAATTTAGATTAGATATAAGGAAGAAATTCTTCCCTGTGCGGGTGGTGAGGCGCTGGCCCAGGGTGCCCAGAGCAGCTGTGGCTGCCCCCTCCCTGGGAGGGTTCAAGGCCAGGTTGGACGGGGCTGGGAGCACCCTGGGCTGGGGGAAGAGGGCCCTGGCCTTGGCAGAGGGGTTGGGACTGGATGGTCTTTAAGGTGCCTTCCAGCCCAAACGAGTCTATGATTCTATGATTAATGCAGCTAAGAAATAATCATGGAAAAGCATTTCAGATCCAGCCATGTATGAAGTCAGGCAGTCTATTTTCTTCAAAGAAAGCTGAGACTACCTTTCATTACATTCAACTACATCAATTATATAGAGCTTTAATGGAAAAGGATTAAAAAGTACAAAGGTAAAACAAACAGCGTTACTGCAAGGTCCAGCAGAATGAAATGACTTCCTTACATGGTAGTTAAGATTACAAAATTACTAAAAAAAGGAAGAGGAATGGAAGGAAGGATTTCATGTACCTTGACTAGAATTACTGTGACAGTGACGTAAACCCAGGAGACTGCAGCACATACATTTTAGAAATTAGGCCCCACGCCCCCAACCTCATCATCAGAGCACAAATCTGAATTCTCTATTTCTGTATTTCCTATTTACTTCTGGACAGAGAAGTACATTATTTCATAAATGCAAATTTTTAAATAATGTTGTGTTTCTTTAAGTCTATTCAAATTGTGTTTGTACTGCTCCAGCTCATTGCAAACTATTTACTTCACTCTACTTTTACCTCCATTTTCATTTGCAGGATGTGTGTCATTCAGCTCTATATTCCTTAGAAGTTTGATATCAGGTTTCATATGCTTAATATGGGCTTAATTTGAGGATGGGGTAAATCATTACAACTTAGATGAAGTCAATAGGAACACAGCGACTTACATAAGCTTTGTGTCAGTAAACACTGACAAGATTGATCTCAAACTTTTTCAGAACAAAAGATTTTTGAAGATGGATTAAACAACATAAATGTTGAGCTGTTTTGCTAGACTGTAAATGGCATAACACATGCTTTGTGTGACATCTCTGAATTATCCCTTCGTGGTAATGTTGACATTACATGGTATTGACTCATGGAAGAAGCTTAAATACCCTTTTAAGTTTTCAAGACTCTTTGACAAAGCACTATTTCATTAACAAAATGTTAATGGAATCTAGGAAGTTTGAATATACAGTATAGCCTGCTGGTTTCAAGAATCTCTGTTCACTGATCGAGAGATGTGACTGGAACAGAGCAATTTAATTCTTCCCTTTAGGCCAACAGAAAAGGGAGCATCTCAAGCAGGGCACTCATTGGCTGAGAAAGGAAGACCCAAGGCTACTTCCACAGTGCTCCACTAAAGGGCTACCACACCTTCTGCTGGAGAAGGTCAAAATAGCACAGATGAGAAAATACATCATACAAGGCAAACTAGTAGAAACAGCAGGGTTGACATTCGCTTGGGGCTAAGGCTTCTTGCTTGTGAAAAGGAGGAAGACCTAGAGAGCATTGCCATGCAGAGAACATGCTCTGGGGTCATGTTTGGGGAAAAAAAAAGGGTAATTATGTGCCTACAGCTAAAATTGTTGGCTCTAAGTATCCTGCTAATGACACAAATGGCTCTCAAACAAGTACAGGGTTTTGTATTTCATGGGTTTACTGCTAGGAACAGATCTTGGTTTTCAGATTCTTGATTGACCCAGAGCAGGGACTTGATGGTGAGAGCAGGGCAGTGCGGGCAGAGAAGATGGCCTCACCAGATGTCCTGTGTTACTCGCCAGGATGATGGTGAGAAATGCCACCGCGGTGAGGCAGCGGCACATGAGGAATTGGTTCTCACCCCAGCCAGAAGCTTCCATCTGTGAACAGCAGAGAGCAGGTTCCCCTCCCAATGACGGGTGCTTGCTGTCTGCTAGGAGTGATTTTCATCACAGCACACAGCCCACAGCTGAGCAGTGAAGACCTGGTCACCACTGAGCAGTGTCCAGCCATCACAGATGAAAGTGTTGAACGTTGGAAAAAAAGACACCTTTTTTTCTTGTCTTTTCTGAGATCAACTTTTCTGAGTTGATAAAATCCACAGCAGTAATGTTGCCTGACTCCCCAGTAGAAAGCATGATGAGAAGTTGTCTGGGAAAGGGGGAAGTTCTCTGAGATACTTTTCTATGCATCCATGCAATATATTAAAAAATAAAAACAAACATACAAAAAACCCTAAAAAAAATTGCAGTGGTACAGCTGCATATACAAATAACAGAATCAATCAAAAATGGCAAAGCTGTGAAACATGTCTGTGCTCAGGTACCAATGACTGGATTAAAGGGTGAAGTAATTCAGGTGTTAACAAGACGAAAGTCAGGGAGCCTCATGGGACTGTGCTCCATGCCTGCCATCACCTACGCCATCAACAGTTTTGCTGCCAGCATGGATGGGAATGGGACCAAGGATTATAAAGTAAGAGGGAGATCCTCAGTTGTCATGTTTGACTGATGGACAAAGGGCTTGTTCTCTGGATGAACAGGCATTTTGGTGAAATAGCAAAGCTTCATACACATCTACCCAATTCCTACGTAACCAAGTGCAAAGTGATGCTGATGGTCACTACTGTCACATGTTTATTACTCTCCTTAACAGCATCTTACCCTCTTGTTTCTGCTTTGTTTTGTTTTTTAATTCAAGTCAAATTACCTTTGCCTCAAGAAGCATACAACAACTATAGTATTAACTGCAGTCAGATGCCCCAAAGATAAGAAAAATACTCCCATAGAAAGGTGCAAAAGATTTTGTGCCAGGCTGAACACAAAGCGATTCATCTTTCCAAACACCTCGCTTGCTCTCAAAAAGAGCAAAGCTGCACTGCCTGAAGAGCGCTTGGCTGCACTGTGCTGATGCAAAGGATCCCTCCAAATCCTCTGCTCAGGGTTTGTTCCAGCACAGGGCAATTCCACCTTTCAATTCACCACCAAAACACAAGAGGAAAGTGCTCAGAGCACATCCTTGGCAGGCAAAGTAGTCCCCCAGTCTGTCCTCCAGACAGGGCTGTTTGAGAGCACTCCTTCAGCTAAGAGTTTCCTCAAAATCCTGATGTAACTAAATTAAAATAAATGATTGAGGCTTTTAAAGAATAAGGAAATAAAGTCCTGAACGGTTGCTACGGTAATAATGGCCATACCAGAATCAGTGGAATTTAACCTCTGCACACAATAAATACAGCCTATGAGCAAAGGATCCAGGTGAGCTTTCAGGGCTCAGTATTCCTGCTCCTATGGAAATGCAATAACCTAATAAAAGAGAAAGGAAGAACACACAGTTTCTTGGAGAATACTGCAGTTTTTGGTATAAAATAATTTAAAGGACTTATAAAAAAATCAAATTCAAGGGAATTATAAGAAGAAAGACATTTCAATTTTGACTGCAAAATATTACACTCAGTCAAGGACACTGAACTTTGTGATCTAACTGGGGTCGCAAATTTTCCACATGAATTAACAGTTGTCCATTGAGCTGCAGTGACCAAGCAGAATTTTTATCCTGGCTGAAGATCTGCCCCACAGTGTTTGCATCCCATTTCCAGGAAAGCATCTCCCACCCTCCAGATAATATTGGTCAAATCTCTCTGTGAATAACCACTTTATAATGTGAGATACTTACTATGCAGTGGGTCACTGGTAGCAGGGTTGAAAAAGGGACATTCAGATCTAAAAATCACAAGCCTCTATAGTCAATGCTGAAAAAAAATTAACTCTCTCTCAAAGGCTCTTATAGACCTAGGAGGATCAACATGTTCAAAGAACAGATTGCTGAAGTATGTTAGCAAAGGTTAGGGAAAGCTGAAAACCTTAAGGTCTTGCAAATCAATCTGTGTATTGCACAAAAGTTTCTCCTCTTCCAAGCCTGAGACAAATGCAGATTGTACTCATCATACTTTTAGAAAAACCTTTTATCAAAATCTCTTACTCTCTTTTGAACAAGACTAAAACACTCCAGAGATACAAAGACAACTAGAAGGTAAAAGCTCTGCAGAAGGGGCATTTTACTTCTAAAACTCCATGTTCTCCCCTTTGTGATTACAGATTTCTAGTATCCTGTCAACTCAGTATAGTTACATCCATATTTTTCTTCAGCTGCCACATTTAGCCACAAGTGCTGTGACCATAAATTAAAAAAACACTTTTTAAAAAAAAATCCTCAACTACATCTGTAATTGCATTAATATAAAACTCACTAGATGCAATTGGCACTACATGGTAGGATTTTTCTTTCCCATTCAGAGGAAGGAGCTGAGTTGAGCTGAGCTGATCTGAGTTGTAGCCCATCCTCCTTCCTGTGCCTCTCTCACCAGCTGTTCCTCAAGGAGGACATTCATTACACCTGAAGAAAAACACCTGTGTAGTATCAGGCACTTCTTATTTTCTTGAGGTAAAAAGGTATTTACTACTGCTGTAGTACAATTATAGAAATCAGCCTTTTTTTTCTATTATTATTTATTTAATCTCTGGATGGGACTTTAAGGCAAAAGATTAAAGAACTGAGAAAAGACATACAAAAATTGATAATCTCAACACAGACACCTTCCAATCATAAATACTTGTAATTCTTAGGATAATATGCAATCCACAATATACTGTTCTGTTTCAGGCACATTTTGGTGCCC